GGTGGTGGTGGTGGTGGTGATGGTGGTGATGATGGTGGTGATGGGGGTGATGGGGGTGATGATGATGATGGTGGGATGAAGATGATGATGATAATGGTGATGATGATGGTGGGAGATGATGGTGATGATGGTGGGAGATGATGATGGTGGTGATGATGATGTTTGTGGTGATGATGGTGATGGGGGTGATGATGGTGGGAAATGATAATGGTGATGATGATGTTCGTGGTGATGATGGTGATGGGGGTGATGATGGTGATGATGGTGGTGGTGATGATGATGGTGGTGATGATGATGATGATGGTGGTGATGATGGTGGGAGATGATGGTGGTGATGATGATAGTGATGGTGATGATGATGATGGTGATGGTGATGATGATGGTGGTGATGGTGGTGGGAGATGACCGTGATGATGATGATGATGATGATGATGGTGGTGATGCTCGTGGTGATGATGATGATGATGATGATGGTAATGGTGGTGATGGTGGTGGGAGATGATGGTGATGGTGATGATGATGTTTGTGGTGATGATGATGATGGTGGTGATGATGATGGTGGGAGATGATGGTGATGGTGATGTTCGTGGTGATGGTGATGGTGATGATGATGGGAGATGATGATGATGATGATGATGGTGATGATGGTGGGAGATGATGGTGGTGATGATGATAATGGTGATGATGGTGGCGGTGATGATGGTGGTGATGGTGATGGTGATGGTGATGACGGTGATGATGATGATGATGGTGATGATGATGATGATGGTGGTGATGATGATGGTGATGGTGGTGATGATGATGGTGATGGTGGTGATGATGATGGTGATGGTGGCGGTGATGACGGTGATGATGATGATGATGGTGATGATGATGATGATGGTGGTGATGATGATGGTGATGGTGGTGATGATGATGGTGATGGTGGCGGTGATGATGGTGGGAGATGATGGTGATGATGTTCGTGATGATGATGATGATGATGGTGATGATGATGGTGATGATGATGATAATGGTGTTGATGATGGTGGGAGATGATGGTGATGATGATGTTCGTGGTGATGATGATGATGGTGATGGTGGTGATGATGGTGGGAGATGATGGTGGTGATGATGATGATAATGGTGATGATGATGGTGGTGATGATGGTGGGAGATGATGGTGGTGATGATGATGGTGGTGATGATGGTGATGGTGGTGATGATGATGGTGGTGATGATGATGGTGGTGATGATGATGGTGATGATGATGGTGGTGATGATGATGGTGATGATGATGATGGTGGTGATGATGGTGGGAGATGATGGTGATGATGATGTTTGTGGTGATGATGATGTTCATGGTGATGATGATGATGATGCTGCTCATGGTGATGATGATGATGGTGATGCTCATGATGATGATGATGATGCTCATGGTGATGATGATGCTGCTCCTGGTGATGATGATGCTGCTCCTGGTGATGCTGCTGCTGCTGCTGCTGCTCATGGTGATGATGATGATGATGGTGATGGTGATGACGGTGATGACGGTGACGCCCTCCCCCAGATCCAGGTGATCAAAATCAAGACCGAGGACAACCGGGAGACGCGCTCGGCCAAGGACGCGCTGCTGCTCTGGTGCCAGATGAAGACGGCGGGGTGAGGCCTGGCACCGGCCCGGGGGTGGGATGGACCCCCCTGGGGGTGGGATGGACCCTCCCGAGGGATGGAGACCCCCCCTGACCCCTCCATCCCCCACAGCTACCCCGAGGTCAACATCCAGAACTTCACCACCAGCTGGAGGGACGGGTTGGCCTTCAACGCCCTCATCCACCGGCACAGGTCTGGGGGGGACATCCCGGAGGGGTCACCACCTCCTCCTTGACCAGGGAGGGGCGGTGGGACCTCGTTGGGTTCCTCCTTGACCAGGGAGGGGTGGTGGGACCTCGTTGGGTTCCTCATTGACCAGGGAAGGGTGGTGGGACCTCGTTGGGTTCCTCATTGACTGGGGAGGGTGGTGGGACCTCGTTGGGTTCCTCCTTGACTGGGGAGGGTGGTGGGACCTCATTGGGTTCCTCCTTGACCAGGGAGGGGTGGTGGGACCTCCTTGGGCTCCCCCTTGACCGCGGAGGCCTTTTAGAACCTCCTTGGCCAAGGAAGGGGGTGTCGAGGTGCCCTCGTCCCCCTCGTAGGCCGGATCTCGTCGACTTCCACAAGCTGACCAAGTCCAACGCCACCTACAACCTCCAGCAGGCCTTCAACACGGCCGAGCAGCACCTGGGGCTCAGCAAGCTGCTGGACCCCGAGGGTACGGACGGGTGGGGTGCGGGAAGGGTCCATCTGTCCATCCCTCCACCCCGGGTGGGGCATCTCCACCACCCGCCTCCGTTTTTGAAGAACATCTCGAGGTGGAGGGATCAGCCCGACGTCGGTGGGACCTGGCGGTCCTGGGGGGTGGTTGGGAGCCGGAGGGAAGGATTTTGGAGGGGGTGACCCTTTGCTGCCACCAACCCCTCCCACCCCCAGATGTGAACATGGAGGACCCCGATGAGAAGTCCATCATCACCTACGTGGTGTCCTTCTACCACTACTTCTCCAAGATGAAGGCGCTGGCGGTGGAGGGGAAGCGCATTGGGAAGGTGGGTCCTCGGTCCAGGGGGTTCCTCACCCTTTGCTCCATCGCTGGCCCATCCCTGGGTCCATCCCTGGGTCCATGGGATGTCCCATCCCTTGTTCTCTGTGGTGTCCCATCCCTTGCTCCATGGGATGGCCCATCTTTAGTTCTTCTTGGTGTCCCATCCCTTGATCCATCTTTTTGTCCCTCTCTGGCTCCATGGGACGTCCCATCCTTTGCTCCATGAGTTGTCCATCCCTTGGTCCATCCCTGGCTCCTTGGTGTCCCATGGGACGTCCCATCCTTTGCTCCATCAATGTCCCATCCCTTGGTCCATCCCTCCATGGTGTTCCCCATCCCTGTCTCCATGGGATGTCCCATCTTTGGGTCCATGGGATCTCCATCCCTTTGTCCATCCCTGGTTCCACGGGATGTCCCACCCCTTGGTCCATCCCTGGTTCCATGGGATGTCCCATCTTTTGATCCATGGGATTGTCCCATCTTTTGGTCCATGGGATGTCCCATCCCTTGCTCCATCCCTCCATGGTGTTCCTCACCCCTAATTCCATGGGATGTCCCATCCCTTGGTCCGTGGAATGTCCCATCTCTTGGTCCATCCCTCGGTCCATCCCTAGGTCCATGGGATATCCCATCCCTTGGTCCATCCCTCCATGGTGTTCCTCACCGCTAATTCCATGGGATGTCCCATCTTTTGGTCCATGGGATGTCCCATCCTTTGCTCCACCCCTTGGTCCATCCCTGGTTCCATGGGCTGTCCCATCCCTTTGTCCATCCCTCCATGCTGATCCCCCTCCCTGTCTCCATGGGATGTCCCATCTTTTGCTCCATGGGCCGTCCCATCTCTTGGTCCATCCCTTGGTCCATCCCTGGTTCCATGGGCCGTCCCATCCCTTGCTCCATCCCTCCGTGGTGTTCCTCACCCCTAATTCCATGGGCTGTCCCATTTCTTGCTCCATCCCTCCATGGTGTTCCCCCTCCCTGTCTCCATGGGATGTCCCATCTTTTGCTCCATGGGACATCCCATCCCTTGCTCCATCTGTCCATGGTGTTCCTCATCCCTGGTTCCATGGGACGTCTCATCCCTTGCTCCATCCCTCCATAGTGCTCCCCCTCCCTGTCTCCATGGGATGTCCCATCTTTTGGTCCATGGGCTGTCCATCCCTTGGTCCATCTCTTGGTCCATGGGCTGTCCCATCCCTTGCTTCATCCCTCCATGGTGTCCCCACCCCTGGGTCCATGGGATGTCCCATCTTTGGGTCCATGGGATGTCCCATCCCTTGCTCCATCCCTCGGTCCATCCCTGGTTCCATGGGACATCTCATCCCTTGCTCCATCCACGTCCCCCCCGTCCCCGTGGACGTCCCATCCCACCACCCTGGCCACCACTGGAGGTCTCTGGTGGGACTGGACACAGGTGACCCCTCCAGGGGGTCCTGTGGGAGCCCTCCCTGATCCCTCCACCCCCCACCTGTGTCCCCCCCCAGGTCCTGGACCAGGTGATGGAGATCGGGGCCATCACGGCGCGGTACGAGGCGCTGGCGGCCGAGCTCCTGGCCTGGATCCACCACACCATCACCATCATCACCAACCAGAAGTTCGCCAACTCCCTCACGGGGGTCCAGCAGCAGCTCCAGGCCTTCACCGCCTTCTGCACCCTGGAGAAACCCGTCAAGTGAGGCCCTGCCGGGGGGGACCCCCTGAGGGGGGGTGAGGGACACGATGTTTGGGTGGTGGGACCTCATCGGGCTCATTCCGGGACCTCTTGGTGCTCCTCCTTGACCAGGGAGGGGTGGTGGGACCTCATTGGGCTCCTTGTGGGACCTTGTTGACCAAGGAAGGGTGGTGGGACCTCATGGATTGGGGAGGGCTGGTGGGACTTTGTTGGGCTCATTCTGGGACCTCTTGGTGCTCCTCCTTGACCAGGGAGGGGTGGTGGGACCTCATTGATTAGGGAGGGTTGGTGGGACCTCACTGGGCTCCTTCTGGGACCTCTTTGTGCTCCTCCTTGACCAGAGAGGAGTGGTGGGACCTCATTGGGCTCCCTGTGGGACCTTGTTGACCAGAGAAGGGTGGTGGGACCTCAAGGATTAGGGAGGGTTGATGGGACCTCATTGGGTTCCTTCCGGGACCTCTTTGTGCTCCTCCTTGACCAGAGAAGGGTGGTGGAACCTCATGGATTGGGGAGGGTTGGTGGGACCTCATGGATTGGGGAGGGCTGGTGGGACTTTGTTGGGCTCATTCTGGGACCTCTTGGTGCTCCTCCTTGACCAGGGAGGGGTGGTGGAACCTCATGGATTAGGGAGGGTTGGTGGGACCTCATTGGGCTCCTTGTTGACCAGGGAGAGGTGGTGGGACCTCATTGGGCTCCTTCCGGGACCTCTTGGTGCTCCTCCTTGACCAGGGAGGGGTGGTGGAGCCTCATGGATTGGGGAGGGTTGGTGGGACCTCACTGGGCTCCTTCTGGGACCTCTTGGTGCTCCTTGTTGACCAGGGAGGGGTGGTGGGACCTCATGGATTAGGGAGGGTTGGTGGGACCTCATTGGGCTCCTGGTTGACCAGGGAGGGGTGGTGGGACCTCATCAGGGATGGTGGGACCTCCTTGGGCTCCTTGTTGACCAGGAAGGGGTCATCAGGGGATGGTGGGACCTCACTGAGCTCCTTGTGGGCTGGGAAGGGGTGGTGGGACCTCCTTGGGCTCCTCGTTGACCAGGGAGGGGTGGTGGGACCTCATCAGAGATGGTGGGACCTCCTTGGGCTCCTCGTTGCCCGGGGATGAGCGGCGGGACCTCCTGGGTGCCCGAGGGGTGGTGGGCCCTGCCCTCACCCGGCGCTGCCGCCCCGCAGGTTCCAGGAGAAGGGCAACCTGGAGGTCCTGCTCTTCACCATCCAGAGCAAACTCCGGGCCACCAACCGCAAGCTCTACGTGCCCAGCGAGGGCAAGAGCATCTCCGACATCAACAAGGTGCCGACGGGACACCGGGAGGGGTGGGGGGACCTCTTCAGGGGTGGGGGGACCTCACTGGGCTCCTCATTGACCAGGGAGGGGTGGTGGGACCTCATGGATCAGAAAAGAGTGGTGGGAGCTCATCAGGGGTGGTGGGAGCTCATCGAGCTCCTTGTTGACCATGAAGAGGAGGTGGGAGCTCATCAGGGGTGGTGGGACCTCATCAGGGGTGGTGTGACCTTCTTGGGCTCCTCACTGACCACGAAGGGGTGGTGGGACCTCATCAGGGGTGGTGGGACCTTCTTGAGCTCCTTGTTGACCATGAAAGGGTAGTGGGACCTCATTGAGCTCCTTGTTGACCATGAAGGGGTGGTGGGACCTCACGGGGGGTGGTGGGACCTCATCCAGCTCCTTGTTGACCATGAAGGGGTAATGGGACCTCTTCAGGGGTGGTGGAACCTTCTTGAGCTCCTTGTTGACCATGAAGGGGTGGTGGGACCTCATCAGGGGTGGTGGGACCTCATCAAGCTCCTTGTTGACCACGAAGGGGTGGTGGGACCTTCTTGAGTTCCTTGTTGACCATGAAAGGGTGGTGGGACCTCATCAGGGGTGGTGGGACCTTCTTGGGCTCCTCACTGACCATGAAGGGGTGGTGGGACCTCATCCAGCTCCTTGTTGACCATGAAGGGGTGGGGGGACCTTCTTGAGCTCCTTGTTGACCACGAAGGGGTGGTGGGACCTCATCAGGGGTGGTGGGACCTCATCAGGGGTGGTGGGAGCTCATCGGGGGTGGTGGGACCTTCTGGGGCGACCTCATTTTCCTCCCGGATCGGGGAGGGCTGGTGGGACCTCCCCATCCCAAGGATGACCCCCGGTGGTCTCGAGGAGCTCCCGGTGACCCCCCCGTCCCCCCCGTCAGGCCTGGACGTGCCTGGAGAAGGCGGAGCACGAGCGGGAGGTGGCCCTGAGGAACGAGCTCATCCGGCAGGAGAAGCTGGAGCTCCTGGCCCAGCGCTTCGACCACAAGGCCGTCATGAGGGAGACGTGGCTCAACGAGAACCAGCGCCTCGTCTCCCAGGTGGGCCGGGGTGGGAAGGGGGTCCCGGAGGACCTTCCGCCCAGGGGGGGACCCCTGGTGATGGGGTGGGGGGTGGAGGAACCCAACACGTGGGTGGTGGGACCTCAGCGAGGGTGGTGGGACCTCACTGGGCTCCTGGTTGATTGGGGAGGGGTGGTGGGACCTCCTTGACCAGGGAGAGGGATGGTTGGACCTCATCAAGCTCCTTCTTGACCCTGGAGGGGTGGTGGGACCTCCTTGACCAGGGAGAGGGGTGGTGGGACCTCTTTTACCAGGGAGAGGGGTGGTGGAACCTCACTGGGTTCCTGGTTTATTAAGGAGGGGTGGTGGGACCTCCTTGACCAGGGAGAGAGTTGGTGGGACCTCACTGGGCTCCTGGTTGATTGGAGAGGGGTGGTGGGACCTCCTTGAACATGAAGGTCTGGTGAGACCTCCTTGACCAGGAAAGGGGTGTTAGGACCTCATCCTGCTCCTCCTTGACCAGGGAAGGGGTGTTAGGACCTCATCCTGCTCCTCCTTGACCAGGGAAGGGGTGTTAGGACCTCATCCTGCTCCTCCTTGACCAGGGAGAGGGGTGGTGGGACCTCCTTGACCATGAAGGTCTGGTGGGACCTCCTTGACCAGGGAAGGGGTGTTGGGACCTCATCCTGCTCCTCCTTGACCAGGGAGAGGGATGATGGGACCTCATCCTGCTCCTCCTTGAGCAGGGAAGGGGTGGTGGGACCTCATCCTGCTCCTCCTTGACCGGCGAGGTCTCCATCCCCCCGTTGTCATGTCCCCCCACCTCAGGACAACTTCGGCTACGACCTGCCGGCGGTGGAGGCGGCCATGAAGAAGCACGAGGCCATCGAGGCCGACATCTCCTCGTACCAGGAGCGCATCCAGGTGGTGGTGGAGCTGGCCCTGGAGATGGAGTCCGAGGGCTACTACGACACCAAGAGGATCAGCGCCCAGAAGGACAACATCCTGAGGCAGTGGGGCCTCCTGACCGAGCTGGTCCGCGCCCGCCGCGCCCGCCTCGAGCAGAACTTGGCCCTGCAGAAGATCTTCCAGGAGATGGTCTACATGATCGACTGGATGGAGGAGATGCAGGTAGGGCGACCGGGGAGGGGGCGGCTCCGGGACCCGATGGAATGGCCGAGTTGAGGGTTTGGTGGGCCGTGGAAGAAGGGTCAAACCAAGGTCTTGGTGGACCATGGAAGGGTCAGCCCAAAGTCTTGGTAGGACCATGGAAGAAGGGTCAAGCCAAGGTCTTGGTGGACCATGGAAGGGTCAGCCCAAAGTCTTGGTAGGACCATGGAAGAAGGGTCAAGCCAAGGTCTTGGTGGACCATGGAAGGGTCAGCCCAAAGTCTTGGTAGGACCATGGAAGAAGGGTCAAGCCAAGGTCTTGGTGGACCATGGAGGAAGGATCAACTCAAGGTCTTGAATGGTCAACCTGAGGTCTTGGTGGGACCATGGAAGAAGGGTCAAGCCAAGGTCTTGGTAGACCATGGAAGAAGGGTCAACCCAAGGTCTTGGTGAACTATGGAAGAAGAGTCAAGCCAAGGTCTTGGTAGACCATGGAACGGTCAACCTGAGGTCTCGGTGGACCATGGAAGAAGGGTCAACCCAAGGTCTTGGTGAACCATGGAAGAAGAGTCAAGCCAAGGTCTTGGTAGACATGGAAGAAGGGTCAACCCAAGGTCTTGGTAGACCATGGAATGGTCAACCTGAGGTCTTGGTGGACCATGGAAGAAGGGTCAAGCCAAGGTCTTGGTAGACCATGGAAAAAGAGTCAACCCAAGGTCTTGGTAGGCCATGGAAGGGTCAACCCAAAGTCTTGATCAACCCAAGGTCTTGGTGGACCATGGAAGAAGGGTCAAGTCAAGGTCTTGGTAGATGATGGAAGAAAGGTCAACCCAAGGTCTTGGTAGACCATGGAATGGCCAAGCTGAGGTCTTGGTGGACCATGGAAGAAGGGTCAACCAAGGTCTTGTAGACCACAGAAAGGTCAACCCAAGGTCTTGGTAGACCATGGAACGGCCAAGCTGAGGTCTCGGTGGATGATGGAAGAAGGGTCAACCCAAGGTCTTGGTGGACCTCAGAAGGGTTTCTCTTGTTCTCTTCCAGGTTCTCCTGGTCTCCAAGGACCTGGGGAAGCACCTGCTGGAGGTGGAGGACCTCCTGCAGAAGCACGGGCTGCTGGAGGCCGACATCTCTGCCCAGACCGAGCGGGTCCAGGCCCTCAACGCCGCCGCCCTCAAGTTCTCGGAGCTGGAGGGTAACGGGGGGCACCGGGGTGGGCACCGGGGTGGGCACTGGCAGGGGCTCCTTGGGAAGAGCCAAACCAAGGTCTTGGTAGGCCATGGAATGGGCAACAGGAGGTCTCGGTGGACCATGGAAGAAGGCTCAAGCCTTGACCGTGGAAGGGTCAAGCCAAGATCTTGGTGGACCTTGGAAGGGTCAACCCGAAGTCTTGGTTGAAAGGTCAACCCAAGGTCTTGGTTGACCATGGAAGGGTCAACCCAAAGTCTTGGTAGACCATGAAAGAAAGATCAACCCGAGGTCTTGATGGACCATGGAAGGGTCAACCCAAGGTCTTGGTAGACCACAGAAAGGTTGACCCAAGGTCATGGTGGACCATGGAAGAAGAGTCAACCCTAAGTCTTGGTGAGCCACAGAAAGGTCAACCCAGGGTCTGGTGGACCATGGAAGGGTCAATCTGAGGTCTTGATAGACCTTGGAAGGGTCAACCCAAAGTCTTGGTTGAAAGGTCACCCTGAGGTCTTGGTGGACCATGGAAGGGTCAACCCAAGATCCTGGTAGAGCACAGAAAGGTCGCCCCGAGGTTGTGGTGGGCCATGGAAGAAGGGTCAACCCAAGGGGTCTCCTCCAGGGTCGGCGGCTCCACCACCTCCCTGGTCACCCCTGCCAACGCTGAAGCCTCTTTGTCTCGGCCCAGGTTACCAACCCTGCGACCCCCAGATCATCTGCAACCGGGTCAACCACGTGCAGACGTGCCTGGAGGAGCTGGAGGAGCTGGCGGCCAAGAGGCGGAAGGAGCTGGAGGATTCCCGCCAGCTCTGGACCTTCTTCCAGGAGATGGAGGAGGCCGAGGCCTGGATCCGCGAGAAGGAGAAGATCTTGGCCGCCAAGACCTGCGGCCGCGACCTCAGCAGCGTCCTCACCCTGACCACCAAGCACAAGACCATGCTGGGCGAGCTGGGCAACCGGCGCGCCCTCCTCCACCAGACCATGAAGAAAGGCGAGAAGATCCTGGCCAAGAAGTCCTTCGGCCCCGCCGGCATCCAGGAGAAGATGCGGGAGGTTTGCCTGCGCTGGAAGAAGCTGGAGGAGGTCACGGGGCTCCACCAGCAGCGCCTGGAGGACGCCCTGAACTTCTTCCAGTTCAGCGCCGAGACGGACGACCTGGTGGTGTGGCTGCAGGACACCTACCGCATCGTGTCCAGCGACGACTTCGGCCACGACGACTACTCCACCCAGGTGACGCCCCTTTTGCGCCCCAAACGGGCGCGGAGAAACTGCTCGGAGGCAGAGCTTGGGTCTCTGAGCGGCGGCAGTCGAAGAGTTGGGTGTTCGTACGGTTTTTGCGAAGGGATGACGTCGCTTTTCAGGAATATCCATAATATTGCGGCGTCCGGTTATGATATTCGTAACAGGGGGAGTCGAGGCGGAGTTAGAGGCGTGGTCTTCAACTTGACCCCTCCTTGGCTGGGGAAGGGGTGCTGGGACCTCCTTGACCAGGGAAGGGGTGGTGGGACCTC